GCGCTTTCAACGGTCGCATACTTTGTGTTTGGTTACGACTAAGAGCAAAATGTAAAGAATGCTCGGCACTACCGAAAAGAAGATTCCAGATGCCATCCCGACGTCCTTAAAGCAGCAGTGAGTCAATTTTTTACAACCAGAACAGACTCCGTCCCTTCCCATGCTCTGCACAAGCCGTCAGACTCGTGGCCTATTGCTTGAAAGCTTGGGTCGGTGACTGCGGAATAGCGGGGCAGCCGCGCGCCTGACGTTTCTGCCCCCTCCTACCTAATCTGTCCTCAAGCTCCACCGATTATCGAATCGGTCTGGGTGATGACAACTGCACCTCAAAATCGTGAATTTTTCAATGAGAGGCCCAAGGCAAGGCATGCATTCTTTTATATTTAAACAACAAAAAACGCTTTGTTGCAGCGGATTCAACAACGTCGCTTGGTTTGGCACCACATGGTGAACATGATGACTAGTGATGAACTGGAAGGCGTACTTGGCAGCGTCTCGTAACGTAAGGCCAGGGTCGCTACTCGTGTCAAGTGACAGCACCCTGTAACGTAAAACCATAGTTACTGTTCGTTCAAGTGACAGCGTTCTGTAGCGTCAAGCTTTCATTGCTGTTTGGTCAGGTGACAACTTTCTGTGAAGTCATGTCATCGTCGCTGTGTGTTGCGTGATGCAAGCTGTTGGTCCGAGTGTATATGTAAGTGCTGCATGATAGTTCAAACCGTAACTGTTCGGTAAAGCCCGCAGTATTATTTTTGCGTGGGGTTGTGAAGGGAATCCAGCAAATTATCTCGCTTAAAATGTCCACGTACTGTCAGTTCTCCCGTTATGAAAATATGTGCTTATCTCAGACGAGCACTGATGGTCGCATTTCGTTACTCATAACGGAGACACGGGCCGTCATATGCAGAGGTAAATTGCCACACTTCACTAGAGGCGCAACGTTTGGGACTGGGCGACATGGCGTATTTGGTCCTGGAACGCCGTTTCCTGACTTTGAGTTCGTGCTTGATTAGCTTTCATGGGTTTGAATTCTTGTACAATTTCTGGACGGTATATTCAGGTAAGAACCTCCTGTAATATCAAATAAAAAACGGGAATAATTGCAAGCGTAATCGATGGCATGTGGCTAAACTTCCTGCGAACGCACTCCTCGAGAGCCCCTGAGTGACCAACACGGAGAAATACACGCTACTTCTTTTAAAAATGCTCAGACTGTTCAAACATTTCGGAGAAATACAATGACGTACATGACGTTACATGAAATGGATGAACGCACAGGCTCCATTCGTATTCACAACACTTCGTTGTCGCGTTTCTCTGCTGCGTCGGGGGTTTTGGCGAGTGAGTTAAGTGGTCGTCTGTTTACCCAGTGATTTACTGCGCCTTCATGTACAAAGTCAAACCAATATGCTGACCTCACAATTAGACATACTTTCGGCTGCGTGACCTAGAGTGGACGCTCTCCATTCTTTCAAGTATGGCGTATCGTGGACATTTCAACTTATTCTTCAAATGAGAAGTTAGCAATCTTTACTCGAGTTCGGACATGGACCATCCGACCACCCCATTGTTGCTGACGACAAAAACGAATAGCAGAAGGTCCAGTTTCCTCGGAAAAAAGACACATTGCTCACAACAACGGTCTGAACAGCCTGGCAAAATGGCAGTGCACTGTGTACGAGGCAGTATCGTTGCACATCATGTCAAAGTTCCAAATGGTCTCGCCCTCATAGTCTCACCAATACTTGAAAGTCAACGAGATTTGTCTTTGCAAACTTTGCACTGCAACCGCTTTTACATTTCGTTTTTGTTTTGGCCCGTGTCGCAGAAGATATGTATGGACGAAGTACTTGTCAGCGAGTGGAAGCTCCACCTAGACGAGCCTTGGTGGGGGCGTAGTGGAAGTAGCCACGTGGTGTACATTACATTCCCTTATAGTGTAAGTGCGTACGAGCCCATGAGGTAAGCCGGCCGTTGGAAATATTGAAATGATCTCGATGTTTGTCGTAGTCTACCTTGTGAGTGTTTTTCGTTATCGTCTCACATTTGTGTGCATGACTTTCAGCTTGTTCTATACTTTTGCTGTAATATGATTTAGCTGAAGGGCATTCAGTTAATCTTATCTATTACTGTTATGACGAAATATATGACGAACCATGCAGCCATGACACTGTCTGAGAGGATGACAGGGAAATACAGCAAGGTAGCAAGCCGAGGTGGTGAAATAAAACCCTGTCTGGCCTAACGGTCTTCCAGTCTGAAAAGCTGCTCGGTTAATGGAAACGTTAAGTCCGACCTAGCTTTTGACCGTTGTGGATCAAAATTCAGGACAGTGTGCAAAATAACCGCTTCACACCAAATGTGCAGATAGCGCCGGAAAAAGGCGAATAAGCTGTACGGAGGGAGCAGCTTAGCCCTCCATCGAATATTCGTCCGCTTGCTTCCAAGTTTCACTAATATCAGCAACCACACAAGACGAAGGTAACCCTTCATAAACTACATCATTTTTCAAACGCGGATATAGAATGATTTCAACTGGCAAGCTCTGTTGGAAAACATCCATGGTAGTCGACATTGCAAATCCCTCCCAATAGCCGACTAACACTAGCTGCCAACAGCTGGCTGGCCTTTCAGCTACACTGTTGGTACATCAAATGCGCCAACTCTCCTAGATCGCAATGGAGTTGTCAAAAATGCATGTATTTTACACATTCATTTGGTGTTGGAGCACCCAAACACATGACATAAACGACACAGGCCCAAATGACCACACATTCCATGGCAAATAACACAGACAAGGCATTTCAGAAGTGGTATGACTCCAGCCATATTCTCTTCATCGCATCCGTCCTTTGCATCATGACTAACAACGAAAAGTTAATGAAACACGAACACTAACTAGCGTTTTGATTGGTTAACACATTACAAATGCACCCATTTATCACGTTATGCCTTCCGTTTTTAATGGAATGAAGTGTATATAAAATATGTAACACTTGTACTATATCAATATTGAGCATTGTCAACTTGAAAGAGGCAGTTTAGATTATATGTTAACCAAACGTGAGTTTTGTCTCACTGGAATGCTAGCCCAAAAACAGCAAGATAAAGTATTCTAGCCTGGTTCAAATGCTTTTTTATTTAATGAGTGATCAGCTTTTTGAATGACTTTGAATTGCCATACTGTATCATGTCCGGCAAAATTTTCTGAACTAAATGACCAAGGACATGTTAAACAAACTAAAAAATATGATATTCCCTTCTGGCCGGCCAGCCTGTGTCAGGATTAACGAGCGATGGAAGATTGTGCCAAATACGTTTTTAAAAGCCGTCAGTTTTGGGCCAAGGCAGGATTCTGTTCCGTGCATGACCATTTAGCACGAAAGAGGACGAACAACAAAAACGAATCTTTTCAAACGAAAGCAGCTGCATTCGTGAAGAAACAGAAAAACAGCCATTGAAAACTTCTTACATCGTCTGCATGGTCGGCTCCAAAATAAAATGTGACCATCAGCGAAAACGAAAAAGTTCGCGACACGTCGCGTCGCAGCCGTCAAGCGCAGATGATCAGTACCCGACCAGGGCAAAGGTCGGCGAGTTGCCGCCCATCGCGCGGGTACGTCACCTCAGGCGACGCGCGGCGCTCGAGGCCAGCACGGCCCCCGCTACATCTAGTATTGCAAGTGTCCGCTGAAAGGCCCCGGCGTATCACAGAGCAGGCGGCACGGCGGCCAACCTCGCGTCCGAGGCCCTCGACCGACCGCCAGATCAGACGGCCCAGTCTCGGCCGCTGAGGTCATAACCTTTTTATGGCGTGGCCTTGAGCGCGGTGCGATCGGCCGTTTACAGCCCGGGCCGCTGCCATGAACAGGCGGCGGCGCCGGAGCCGCCGCCGCCGACTGCCAGCGGCCGGCCGAGCCACCGCTGCGGACGAGCGCAGGCGCTCGAGCCGCCGGCGCGGACGAGCGCGACGAGCGGTGGGGGAGGCGGGCGACGCCGCGCCTGCTGCTTACCGGCGCGGCGGTGCGCGTGGCCGTCGCCTCCGCCCGGCCAAGCCGTGCTGGCGGCGCTGCGTCCGCTGGCCGGCGGCGCTGCGAGGCGCCCGGCTCCGGCCCAGCGGAGGCCTGCCGCGCCAGCACAGCCGTGGCTTGCGAGTCCACGGCTGGCAGAGCAGCACCAGAGACGGTCCCGACCGACACAGCTGCACCAGGCGTATCCGCGGACCAGCACAGCTGCACCAGGAGCGACCACGGACCAGCACAGCTGCAGCAGGCACGTCCGCGGACCAGCACAGCTGCACCAGGCGCGTCCGCAGACCAGCGCAGCTGCACCAGGCGCGTCCGCGGACTAGTGCAGCTGCACTAGGCGCGTCTGTGGACCAGCACAGCTGCACCAGGCGTGCCCGTGGACCAGCACAGCTGCACCAGGAGCGTCTCCGGACCAGCGCAGCTGCACCAAGCGCATCCGCGGACCAGCACAGCTGCACCAGGCGCGTTCGCGGACCAGCGCAGCTGCACCAGGCGCGTCCGCGGTCCAGCACAGCTGCACCAGGCGCGTCCGCGGACCAGCACAGCTGTACCAGACGCATCCGCGGACCAGAACAGATGCACCAGACACACCCGCGGAGCAGGTCAGCTGCACCAGGCACGTCCATGAACCAGCGCAGCTGCACCAGCCGCGTCCACGGACCAGCAGCGCGGCCCCGGGTCAGCAGCGGGCGGCCGTCAGTGCGCGGCCAGGCCCTGCGAGTGCGGCGGCAGCGTCCCCGGCTGCTGCGGGGACAGCAGGGTCGGGCTGCGACTGGGCGGACTGCCGGCCAGCGGCTCCAGCGGCCGCGGCGACCGGTACAGCTGCGGCCCGAGCGGCGGCAGTGGCTCCAGCTGCTGCTGCTGCTGCTGCTGGTGATGCTGCTCCAGGTGTTGCTGCTGCTGGTGCTGCTCTAGGTGTTGCTGCTCTAGGTGCTGCTGCTCCAGGTGCTGCTGCTCCAGGTGCTGCTGCTGCTGCTGCTGCTGCTGGTGTTGGTGGGGCGACGCGCGCTGCTGCTGCGGCAGCGGCTGCGGCGGCCCAAGCGACGCCTGCATCTGCTGCAGCTCCGACTGCGAGACATACGACTGAGGCGAGCCACCGTCTCCCTTATCGTAGCCCGTGCACGGGCCCAGCGGTGTCATGCGCTTCTCCTTCTGGCGGCGGTTGCAGAACCAGACGCGCACCACCTCCTTCTCCAGCTGCAGTGAGCCGGCCAGGCTGCTGATCTCGGGCGACGCCGGCTTCGGCTGTTTCATGAAGTGCTGCTCCAGCAGCGACTTGACCGACACTTCGATGCTGGTGCGCTTCTTCCGCTTTCGGCCCTGCGCGGCCATCCGATCGACGGATGCCGTCAGGCCCGTGGTAGAGTCGGCCTCTTCCAACCACTTCTGCAGCAGCGGCTTCAGCTTGCACATGTTCTTGAAGCTGAGCTGCAGCGCCTCAAAGCGGCAGATGGTCGTCTGGCTGAAGACGTTGCCGTAGAGCGTGCCGAGCGCCAGGCCCACGTCGGCCTGCGTGAAGCCCAGCTTGATCCGGCGCTGCTTGAACTGCTTGGCGAACACGGCCAGGTCGTCGTCAGAGGGCGCCTCCTCCTCCGGCTCCTGGCTGGGCTCGCTCTGCGGCATCATCAGCTCGTGCGGTTCGCGGCTCAGGTGCCCCGGGTGCAGCTGGTGCGGCATCATGCTGTGCATGCTGTAGGCCGGGTGCTGCGGAGGCGGCGCGCCGTTGGGCGGCGGGCTGAGATAGGAGGGCGACACGGACGGGTGCCACGACGGCGGCGGCACGTGCTGCGGCACACGGCTGACGTGCGTCAGCTCGGCCGGGTGCTTCACGTCCTCGTGCACGCTGACGTGCGGGTGCAGCGTCCAGTGCACGGACTCGGCCTGCGCCGGCAGCATCCACGGATTGTGCGACATCGGACTCGGCTGCGGGTGCGGGATGTACTTCATCTCGTCACGCAGCACGTACCCGGGCGAGTTCAGCATCGTCTCGGCCACACTCACACTGACGTCGGCGCCCGACGCACTCCCCAGTCCGTAGGCGCCCGATGCCATGGCGCGCGCCACCACACGGCGTTCTCCCCCTATCATGCGTAATGCATCACTCCCGACCGTGGCGGCGGCCGCGGCGGCCGCCACCGCCGCCGCCGCCGCCGACGTCGACCATTGGCCGGCCGGATGACGTCACCGCTCAGGCACCGCCCATTGGCCGGCGGGATGACGTCACGGGTGAGGCACCGCCCATTGGCCGTGGCTGCGGCGTTCGGCGTTTTGGGGGGCTTTGCAGGTAGATTGCAGACTGGATGATGGCGGGAGGGGTGTGTGCGACGGCGACGTCCCGCGACGCGCGCGGCGCGGTCTCTCCGACGACGCGTCTGTCACAGAGGCACCGATTTGGTGACAGCTGCGCCACACTCGGCCCTGGCGCGCCGCCGACCGCCGCGGGCAACACGGTTGGATGATTGATGAACGAGGCGCCGGTTGTATACCGGTGTTTATTTGTGGCTCAGTATGAAGTGTTTGTGTATTGGATAACTAGGTTTCACGAACGGTTGAGGCGAAGGGGTAAATGACGAGCTGGGATTTGTCAGGGAGGAGGTAGAAAATCCGGTAAGAGTTACCTTAACCCACAAAGGCCACGGTAGGAGAAACGACCGTCCAATCATCGCCATGTTCACATTTTTATTCCGCAGCCCGCCAAAATCTGTTATTTTTCTGAAAAGCATTGATCCAATTTTACCGACACAAAAAGCGCGCATGCTAGGCATTTTCTCCTCGCAGGTCAGTTCGGCGAACACATTAACGTCATCAAAAATCAGTTCGAGCCACACGTTGAAGTGTCAAAATTACTGCGTATAGCCTCTAGAACTATCTTTATCCCATCATTTTCACCAAGATGTTACGGCAACTCATTTGTCGAGATCCTGCATTTCGGTAACAAAACTCTGACTCCTCTGGGTAGTGATGTTCCCTTCGGTGTTATACCGAAGTTCGTTGGGCTTCTGAGACTTACAGTGTGTCGACCCAGATGATACTGGACTGGGTTTTTGTTCATCTTGGTTAACACCCCAGTCAGTCTTCAAGTGACAACGATGTTCTCATATTGATATGATCGGCCCCGCGATCGCCCACGCAGACTGCAATGGAAAACAGAAACATAGCCAGAAGCTGCCCGCCGCAGCCCGCACACTAACTGCTGTAACCTCAATGACTTTCCGTACACGGAACAGTAAATTCTCACTTAAAAGAGCAGGTTTTCATCTTAACCAACAGGTTGTACCAAACAGCTATATGGCCACCTTTAAGGGCTATGCTTGGCATCAATTTTGGACTCGCATAATGAAAGTGCCCCTTCCGCGTAACCGCCAAGCACACCCGCATGGAATGCCAACACTCCGAGAAAATGAAACATGAAGATAATGCTGCTGGCGAAAAGACGGTATTGAATGGACAACTTTCGAATGGCGCAATTTTCTGAGTATATTACCAAGTACAGCATTATTCGCTAGGCCCAAGCCTTATAGCTAACTGCCGCCAGCTAGTCTCCGTCCGCTCCCCGTCGGTACCAATGGGAGGGGGGCTGCGTGCCCTTTATGTAACGCTGTAAGATGAGTCAGCTCGTGGCACAGGCTGAGATTATACAGGAAAACACAATTTCTTGTCCTGGATGGTGCTGCATTTCAAGCAGAATAGCTGCACGCTCCGACGCCGCTTGTAGGCAAGGAATGAACCGGATCTTTCCACCGCTATCTTGACGTCTCCGTGTTCATGCAACACCAGGTAATGGCCGACATTTCAGCCGGAGCTCAGAAGGTGGCAACGCTTACCGTGCAGATTTTGTTCTAATACACTGTGATTTTACATGCGCGGGACTCGAATTATCGTTTGCTCAGCGCATGTGGTCTCATTTTCTGCCGCCTGAAATTTTAGTAAGAATAGGGAAAAGGGGACGACAGGAATCCTCACAAAAAATAACTTGCTATAGCCTCAACCTTTTAGTCAAGGGGCAGCCTGATTTTTGGGTGGTGGTGAAAGAACTGTGCAGAAAATCAGGAATCTTTAAGCTGGAAATCAGGGCGATGTATAGGAATCGCAGGCCATGCCGCTCATTGCCTCGGAAATTATCAAATTCATTTTGCTGTTCACAATAACCTTACAAAACCACGAAGCACGCATATCATACCGATCATATATTCTATTAGTCAAAAGAGATTGTAAGTCAAAGTCATGATTATACCCAACGACAAAGCAGTAATATTAGGCTTGATAGGGTACAATATTCAGCTTGTAACATTGTACAATGAAGCCACTTTTCAGTACATCTTTATTACAACATAGCCCTGTAGCGACATAGATGTGCCAACTTGTTACCACGGCAAATAAACAATGTTTTAAATTGTCATACGCAAAGAGGCATCAAAATGCGGCTGTTGCTGTTTGATTCAGCTGACATCGCCATGATCCACACGACCGACGCTGTGACATGTGTTATAGCCGACGCGACCGACGCTGTGACATGGACTAAAGCCGACACGACCGACGCTGTGGCATGTGCTATAACCCACACGGCTGTTACTGTCTCATGTGCTATAACCCACACGACTGACGCTGTGGTAAGTGCTATAGCCGACACGACTGACACTGTCACATGTGCTATAACCGAAATCGCATTTAGGATGCAAACATAAGTGCTGCCATACATGCAGTTTAGGTGGGTGTAATTTGCGCTCCGTGAACTAAATACATCTGCGTTAATTTCGATATGTACAGTGTGCATGATGCTAGTAACAGTGATTAGCATGCATCGGAAGTGTGTAACAGTATGATGCCAACAACAGTGATCAGAGCGTGAGTACTAAGAAATTACAAAATCGGGGGTTGCGCATATAGGAGTCACTCGATATACAATGATTTATGACAGAACTGAGCATGTGGGGATGCGAAATTATAACATAAACATCCATTTTTCCCCGTACCCCATTGGCCTCCGTGTTGAAGCCAAACAGATTAGTTACGGCGTAAACCTAAGGAGTGAGCGCACGGCAAAACAATGACAACTTAATCGAGAGGAAATGGGACGACTTGCTAGGCATTTAACCCAGAGGCGATTTGGGGTCAAATCTGTTAAGGTCACAAAACTAACTGCAGGTGCAGTAAAAGTTATCATCTTACTCCACACATCTCCACTGGAGTGCGGTATTCAACACTCCCAAACACATCGGCTAACAAAATAACAGCCGATCCCCAGACAGTCATTTTGTGTCACTGAACCCAAACTCGGCCTTGTGGTTTTCGAGATCCTTAGAGACTGCAAAATTGTCCCGGTGTAAAATTCAGGCGGTGGTCGTTACATGATGCATGAAAACACGACAGCTAAATTTTGCCATTGACTTGTCAGCTCACGCAAACAGGCTCAAGTCACGCTTTTGCCGCTTCTTCTAAGCCTTTATATGACCACAAAGCAAAGCTGATTCAGGTCAAACTTTGCCCCATTCGCTATCGGGGATACGTAAGGTCTCATGAGGCAATTAATAACCTTTCAACACCACTTGTTGATGACTTGACGCTGAACATTATCGCGTACAACGATGCTACTGGCGCTCTATAAAATGTCCGCGAGTTTTAGGATCGTTTCTAAGACATGACCTGTCCAGAACATCACTATTGTTATACTCGTATAACAATCGTGATGTTGTGGACGTTGATACACACATTGACAAAGATGAATATTAGCGAGTAAGCTTATCATTTTAGTTAATAATGCAGCGCGTTTGTGGACTAATTTGACATCAAATACAGGAGTTCGGACGTGAAATTAGCTTCGAGCCTATTGCAAGTTCTTGAACACTGATTTGTTTATACACAGCCATTTCACATTTGCATAACTACAATACAAGAACATCTGTTGTGCAGACGATTGGGTTTCGTACTACTCAAAGGTTCCACGTTTTTGTCGTGCACAGTTTTGAGAATAAAAGCGTAGGTGAATGATCTGACACGGCAGAAGCTTTGAATTTTGCAGGCAGTTGGGATAAAGTTCCCAACTAAGCTATCAAATATTCTATTATGATGCGCTAACAGGTTCAGAATATTTCTTCGAAATACCTGCTGAGAAAACCAGAGACACTGGAAACTTCCTGTTTTTGAAAGCGTTTCAATAACGTGTTTGACATAAAGCTGTCACAGAAGTTTATTGACTAAACTAAATGCTGCCCGTTTTAAAGATCTTGACTCAAATTGAATCCTATCGGCCTCTGACAGTACGCTACTGCCAAACGATCGTGATGCGCTTCTCCTGCATTTCGACAGCTGGAATGGAATGCGTTTCAGTTTACGCATTTTAGCCGCGTGACGATCCATTTCGCATTCCATTACCCAGTTGTGCATGCTGGGCGGGTTTCAAATAGTCAGAGCACCCCATGAAGTTTACCCAGCCAACGCAGTCAGCGGGGTTCTGCAAAACACAAAGGAATGTCCCCTACAAGGGCCGCGGCCCCCCGCGGCCCCTCTTGGAAAAACACGCCGCCTGACTGGGCGGCCACCAATCACCAGAATTACCGCCAGTTTACGCCGAACTACTTATTTGCCGAGTGATATCTTCAGGACCGCGCGATCATTAATCACACTGGTGGTTTTTGCTGGGCGACTGCCGACCGAAGGGCACAGAGCTTCTTCTTCTGGCGGAGGCAGGCTGTGAGCAATGGATTCCAGCGGCCCGCCAAGATCGCCAACTGATCTGGAAAGACTGACAGCAGCGCGGTTCCTGGGTTGTATCCGGTTGGAAAAGGCATAAAAACTCGTATGACGTTGACGAACGCAATTTTGACTGAGCGATGCTGGTGTGCTATATCTTTCATGTGGTAGTGGCATAGCACAGATGAAACCGTGCTTTTTATATCAGCAGAGACAAATGAATGCGCCATGGTTGTGCGCACCAGTGCGTCTTCCGTTTACTGTTTCCGCCATTTTTGAGTATTGCCACGTCGCTCTGACTGATAGTCCTTCCACTGTCCCTGTATGGACTTCTGAGTAGACAACCAAGTATGCTGCTAATTTATAACCGCACAAACTGTGGTAGAACG